TATATATATATATATATATATATACACACACATATACACACACACACACACATATATATATATATATATATATTATTGGAACAAAAAGAGAGTAAATGTGTGAGGGTAGCGTGTACATGATGATTGTCCTTACATCGAGCATTTGAAAACAATGAATCTTTTCCTCTCGTGACGAAAGATAATTTTGTAGGTAAGCGAATATTCTTGTAACATACCTGTTTGTTTTATCAGACCAAAGATATCATGTTTTGTGTTTGTAGGGTATGAAGAAATTAATTAGGATTTGACGATTCTCTAGATGAAATACATGACGAATTTGATAGATAATGCACAACATGTATCGCATATTTTTAATGCACACGTGCCTACCCGTTGCCACGGTTGTCACTTAAAAACGGCAGCATTCTCAGTTGTGACGAGTTGGTCGATGCTTACGTGTATTCCCGACGGTAGTGCCGTTCGTACGTTGTTTGCGTTCGGACTTTATATCTCGTTTCGTAAGGACCTGCAGTCGCTAACTAATTACTGACGAGAGACAAAGCGTAACTAGTCGGAGAGGTCGTTTTGAAGGAACTTGTACATTTAGGAAACTGTAAAGGTATGCCACTGATGTAGCTTAGCCAAGAAGACTGTCAGTCGTCCGTTAAGGCGTTGTAATTGCTATTCGAATAAAAAGATAATATATTTTAGCGGGGCTTTTTCTATTTTTCTGTACCCTTGATGCCTCTCTCTCCTTCACGTTTACACGGTAAGCTGCTAGAAAACTGACACCGGGTCGTAGGCTTTAAGAGTCGCGCGAGCTTTAGGCGTGCATCCGCAGTGTCGTAGGACGATATAGAGCTATCCGTTGCTTCGTGTAGGAGACTCGGCAAAAAAATGTCTAACATCACCTAACATTGTATCAATCGTATCGCCGCGTCGAAATGTCACTCGAATCTCAGACTTCTCTGCGTATCCTCTTCGTCGAGACCCGAACGTACCCCGTACACATTCTTCGACATCCTTCTCTTGTAAGACGTCTTTCACTCTTCATTCGCTGAAATACATTTCTTGACTTGAATTTATTGACGAATCGTGCGGACTGAGGCATGTCGTGTGAGTGATGTCGATTGAGGCAAGCGGATTCCACGTTACGGAGTCACATTCGTGCGATCTCGCTGTCTTATACCCCTTCCAATTGCGTAGTAGTATGGCTTGAAATACAAATCGTAAATCATACGCCTAATCGGGATTTTCAGGATCCGCTACTAATCCGCTAATGGTCGATGGGACAAGTTGGGAATAGCCGGGAACGAATTAGGTGAAACCTTGTGGCATATCACCGAGTCGTTTGGATTATCTCTCTGTCTCACACACACACACTCTCTCTCTCTGCGATTCTGACGGGACGCATCGTGTCTATGGTAATTTTTGTAGCTTTCAAAGGAAAAAAAAAATGCAAGAAAATAAACAGCATCCTTGAATTGTCTTATATTTATTGTAAATCGCACCTCGTGCGCGTTAAGGAAAATAAAACGATACCGAGTAAGCTGTCTATCCTTTACTCCGCTACGAACATCCGCCTTGGGATTTTACGACAAGGATAGTGATATCAAGTGGTGGTAATTACATCGTCGTGTCGATTTTATTCTGTAACTTTCACTTTAACGGATACAATGGGCTACTGCTAAACTTTTTATCTCTGTCTCCTCCTATCCTAATTCGTAACGTATTTAAAATATCTTTATAGATCGCGTGACACTTATACATAATATATATAATTATTCTTTTGACGTTATATTTGCATTGCATTTGGAATTTATACGTCACAGAATCATCTCACGCATACGGATTTTATTCATTCGCATGAATGTTATAATAAATTGGTTCCGTATGAACTAAAACGATAAATTTCGCATTCATTTGCGATATTATATATTTATGTACACAATTAAATATATATAGTATATCTATTTATACTTAATTTCTTGAATATGTACATGCATACGCGGAATATCTATTTAGAAGCAGCAGAATGTACATTTTTCTTGCGTTGCTTCGGACTGATTTTTACATAATATATATAGTTCGTTTAGACTTTTATAAATCTTAGATGTTAATGTTCGCTTAATATGCGCGTACGTAAATTTACATCGGAAGTATCTTTCGATACGATGATACCGCAAACGCTAACTTTTATTCACTAATTTTCTAGCTTAATATTATTCGTGTGTTGACAAAAATTGACAAAAATGATACGCTGTTCACGTGATACGTATAGTTAAATGCGAATGCCAAACTATGGATATTTGGGCTCATTTATATCCAAAGTCCAGCGGAAAAGAAACCAATACCGAATGAAACAGTAAAGATCTCTGGATATGTTTATTCTGTGTGAATAAAATTAAAATTGACATGATATAATATTAACACAGATTTTACCACAGACATCGCTGAGATTTATGTTATAACATATTTCATCGAATTTTAACAATGACAAGAGTAACGCTTCTGTGAAGATACACATTCGCACGTTACGATAATATGCAATTTTCGGATGTTACTTCTACGAAGAGCAATTCCTATAGTCTGCAGAAAATAGTACCTAAAGAATGAAGAGTGAGGATATTTTTATTCTAAAATGTATGTGCTCATATTTTCAATTAAATATCAAATAACATATGTGTGAAGTGTGCTCTCATTGGGTAGAGAGACTATCCACTTCTAAAAGTTTACATATTTACAAATTGATATTTACATTAGTCGAGTGCAACGTTGTGATACGGAACGTTGTGCTTAATGGTAGTTTCTTTTAGAAAACTTACAGATTTTAACAAATAAATGTAGCTTTTATACTCCTTTCAGCAACAGCTTTCGCTTCCCGAGACGAGACAATTTCTTTCACTCGTCGAATTGTATTTACATATCTATGTTTTATAGCCTCTTGTTTTTAATCAACATCTTTGTCGGAAAATAATCTCCGATGTCAAGATATGCGAATATGTACAAAGAGATAATATACGAAATTTGTTCATAAATAATTATATAAGTTGATACTGCTTGTGTATATGTGTGTACGTGTGTGCGCACGCGCGCGCGCGCGCGCGCGTGTGTGTGTGTGTGTGTGTGTGTGTGAAATTAAGAAAGACGCGTAAGACGATTAAATTCATGAAAATACATGTAGATTAAAATACAGAACATATAGAGTCAAATCGAAAAGTTCGACTCGATATTTTAATCAATTTTTATTTTATTGCATTCAGTAGAAACAATTTATTAATTCAAGTAATCGTTCTCGTCTGTAATACTTTATCGACGTTCTGGCAGCATTCGTGCACCTCTATCATAGAAGGTGGCTAGTTTATTATCGAATTAAAAATCGCACCGAACTTTCTTGACTCACCCGATATTCAGTAAATTCTATATCACATTTTTTTTTTCACACAAACAAGACATATCAGAACGCTCATTATCTACGAATTGCCGTAGATATTTTTAAAACGGCAATTGATATTTCTCGCAAAAAGATGTACATTCAAATTAAAGTCCGACAAAATGCATACAATAATGTCAAACGTCAATTTTCATCCGCTAATACTACACATCATGCGTGTGAGCAAAGTGTTAAGACGAATTCTGTTCTCGTTTAGAATCAGAATTGCAAAGATTCTTACTTCGAAAGGATCGATATCTATGTGTCTATTCGAGAATATGTCAGTTCGGAGAATACAAGATAGCGAAATATATTATTTATAAATCATACAAGAGTCCCCCTTTCATCGTGCATAGTATCTTGTATGATTAACGATAAGATTTGCAATATCTATTGAATCTCATCATAGATATCTCTAAAATTTGAATCGATACCTCTCGATAAATCCACATTGAAATCAGCCTAACAGAATGCACAATGTCACGTGTCTCTCATACGCAAAATTACGCGTCAGGCACGTGAACGAAGTTAACATAACAAATTTCATTTATCTCCGAATTGTAATCGTAGAGATCCAAAATTCACGGGTAATATACATCGACGATTAAAAAGTGGCATCTCGTATCTTCAAAAATAGCTGGATTTTCAAATTGTTCGTTCAACGAATTCAATTTTTCTTTCTCTCGATTTCTTAAAAACGTTTTACTTTTGATTGAAATCTTAAAAAGAACATTACAAAATATGACGATAGGAACTAAGAATTTGCTGCAGGAAGATAATAATGTCTCAAATTTTCAAAACAGTTACCTCGTTTCTCCTGAAAAAAATTACCGATCTCTTACATACGAGATATCACTTGTTAGTCACTGATGTGCTCCCTCGTTCGTTCTCAAACTTATCATCGTAGTTTTAATTTAACGATATATAATATAGTTAACTCGAAGTCCGCAGTGTCGGACTATTTGGCGTGACGGGCGGTTGACGACGAGTGTAGGTTCTTGAAGACAATTTAACGGAGACTTTGCCTCCCTCGTCACGTCGAGACAAACGCATTGTACAGCCAATATCAGTCAATAGTAATAATATGTACAATATGCAGAGCGAGATTCTGATCAGACAATAACAGGTTTCTTCGAGATCGGCTTTAAACTAATGCGATTCGTTAACACGGGCGACTTTATGGGGGATCCCACCTTGCGCTATAAGGAGACTTCGCTTTGCGAAAGCGGCCCGTTACCTATTCTTGCGTTGCTGTTGAGCCGTTTTGTCGTTGTGCTGTTCTTTGGTTCCTTGTTGCAGGCGGACGCGACCACGTCCGGCGATTCTTTACTGCCCGCCGCGATGACGGTTGCCGTCGACGACGACGACGTCGTCATTGCCGTCGTCGTCGTCGTCGTCGTTGCCATCGTCGTCGTCGTCGTACTCGTCGATTCCTTTTCGTTGTTGGTCGTTTGGGTCGATCGCGAAGCGCATGTCGCCAGCGGCTTTCCATTTTTCTGCTCCTTTACTTCCATTTCGTAATCTGCGAAAGGAAAATACGGCGATACTGCGCGTTGTTTGCGAAGAACCGAGCGTGGGTACTCACGAGCGAAAAAAACAGCTACAGTTAAAAAAGCAAAAGTTACAGCGATGCCAAACATGATTTATGTAAGCTAATAGAACAAAGGGATTGCAAGGTACGCGAACAAAATTCTTCGGAGACCTAACTTCTCTTACTAACTTTTTCGCTATGATCACACTTGGAATATTGGAGCGGCATGGACTTGTTGCACGATTCTGCGATTCTTGTGCCCTGAGTTTTATATTGTTTCTTTCATTGTCACATTTTATTGCGTTTATTACCGAAGACATTCATGATCGAAACGTCTGATTATGTGTACTATTAGGTTTTTAAAGAATATATAGTAATTTTATTTGCGCACCTTACGACCCCTGTGTCGGCTCTTACTGACTTACGTAAATCATATTTTGACTATAACTAGAATTCTTTTTTCAGTGTAAGATCCGCATATTTTACGGCGCGAAATTGCCGAATTCGTCCCGCGCTGATATCGTACTTACATTCGCTCTGCGTGGAACAGTCTATGGTGGATGCGATATGTTTCTTGATGGCTTTGTTCTGGTCGCAGGTCGCGGCCGTGAGCACCGTCGTCGCCGCGACCGGGCCCATCATGCTCGACGGATTCGTGGCGGTTATCGCCGAGCTTTTCGTCAAGTTGGGCCGCCCCGCCTTTATGTTCGGCCGTACGTTTCTCTCGGGTCGGATCAGAATAATGTACAGCTAAGCATGCCAACAATACGCGCCATGAAACGCTATTGTAGTGAATCGAGCTGAGTTTTAGAGAGAGATCACTTTGCCTAACGACGCGACGCGTCGCGATGCTCGACGTCACAATGAGAATCGCATTAAACAATTAGGGACAGAACGTATATACGTTAACGGACGAGCGAAAAATAGACCACGTGCGCCAGCTGCTGCCGTCATGACGCTCGAATTGGCTCCCGAAAGTTATTCCGAGTAAAGAAACTGTTAATTAAAGGCGAGGGAAATTATTAATCGTAAGCAACTAAAAAGATATATACTCTGAAGTGAAGAAGATACGCCATTTGATATCCAATAGCACGCTTCTTCAGAGGGAAAAGGAAAAAAAAATGCCTCCTAATTTTGGCTCGTCCAAATTTTGCACGCTCCTTTAATTAAATTCCGATCATTCCGCAGGAGAGCAATGTTCCACGCTAAATGTCAAGCGGCGAAAGTTCCTCCCGTTGAATTTTGGGAAGCACCCCGCTCCCTAATGCAAGTGCTCACCGTACGTACGTCCCGACGTCGAAGTACATCGCGTCGGACGATGTGCGAATTTCTAACTAACTTCAAACGTATTTCGTTACTCAATCAATGGATTCAGGCTAAGTGAATACGAGACTGCGATTAAGCGCCCGTTCGCGAGCGACCTCGAGCGTTCGATTGCGTACATACACTCCGAGAGTGCGAGTGTTTTCAAGCGGTTCAAAGTGATCAAACGGAACTTCACCTTTGGACTGAAGAGGCAAACCACCATTACGGACGCGGAAAGACTGATTGTTACCGACATGGAAGTAATTCTCAGCGCGACGTTGTTGCCGGTGCCGAAGTACAACGGCACGAATGCGAGCCATATGACGCACGTCGTGTACATGGCGAAACCTGCGGAGACATTAATTCTTAATGATTCCTGCTCCTCGGTGTCTTGCTAAACAATTATTGTTAATACGAAGAAACATATGACCTTTCCCCGTCGTGCGTCAACGTACAAAGTGAGGTAACAACCCTTACCACCTTGAATATCTTCGAAAGGTGAAAGTAGGGGGGGGGGAATTTATTTAACAGAATTTGCATTGGGTCATCACTTCGAACATCTCCTGTTAACGTGAACTTTCTTCATCTGTCGTTGTAAATGAATTTCTATTTTTATTTTTCCTAGGTGTTCATTTTGTGTCACTTAAATTTAAATTTAAATCGAAATTCCAAAATTATTATCAATTTAAATTGAAATTATTTATTTCGTATTGTTGATTTTTCGAAGATATTCGAGGTAGGACGGGGACACGATACGGGACAGTTGTTCCGCAACGGAAGCGGTAAGCTCACCGATGTGCTTGCTCTCGTTGAAAGCTTCTGGAATTTTCCTCGTGAGGACGGCATATACGGTGCACACGGCTATCAGTATTATAGGATACGCGAACGCGATCATGTAGCTGGCGTCGATGTAGCTGTTGCAGACGAGCAAATTATCCTCCATCGTGGGATGATGATGCATCGCTCTGGCGGGATCGATCAGTATCCAGACTATGTTAATTAAGATTTGCACGGATACCAATCCGAAGCAGATGATGAGCTGCGAGCGTGGCGATATGAATGAAGGTCTCTTGGCGCTTTGTCTGCCATCATTGAAGATCCTCGCGATCCGGTTGGTCTTCGTTAACAGTGCCGCGTACACCACGGTGAAACAGAGTCCTGCGGCGAGTCTGTCAGCGGGAATAAAGAAGTTTTCGTTTTCTTAACAAGCGCCGGGAGACTAACGTTCGGAAACACAACGCTTGCACCGCGCATAATTGATGCTTCTACTTCTACTTTACTTCTAACTTGAGATACGAGCCAACAAGAATAATTATCTTCTTTTCTTTTCTACCACGTCGTACTTCATTAAGTTGTTAAAGATGTATCACCCCTAATTCGAAATAACGAAGAAATTACCAAAAAAAAGTTACAAACTGATCTACATTGCATTTAAAAGTGACGCCAAAAGTTTGGACAGTGATTCAGAGCCTGGACCGAAAGTTATTCTATTTTAAAGGAAGTTGTAAGGTGAAAAGAGTTTGATAAGTATTCGTTGAAACTTGCACTACGCATAGATTGAAATATTAGTATTAAAGACTAATACGCAGACAATATAGACGAATTGACCGATTTGTTTTGAAAATACAGCGATGTAAAGCTCGTAACTTGTAGTAATACTCGAAATATATATACATATGTACATATTTAAACACTTATACACCTTTTTCTATTATTTGTACACCTCTCTTAGATCAGCTGTTGCATAAATATAGCAATAAGAAAAACAAAAAATAATAATATTTTCGTATCTGTAATATTGTGTATACATGTATATCTCAACTTCGTCTCAAATTAACATTTATTATTTAGACAGTGAAATTAATATATGGGAACGTAATTTTACTGAATAAATACTAAATTGATGAGATGATCCCCTTTATGTGCCATTGAAACGGCAATACATCCTTAAGTCCACTACGGCCGGTATCGTTTGAAAAATATCTCTTACAGTCTCGCACATTCGAAGATATTGGGATAAGCAAGAAGCGCAAATTGGGAAAAGCATTAGAGAGAGAGAGAGAGAGAGAGAGACTCCTACAAAATCGCGTGGAATTAGCAAAGCCGTTACTTTACTTTCGGTCGGACGACATTAATCGTACGCGGGAGGGATATAATTTATCACGTAACTGTAACGCGGGGCTCGCGAAGGAGCGAAAGATTAATGCTATCATCAGGATCTGGGAAGTTGTAGAACACACCCGAAAAGATTCATAGTTTTTTACCTTTGAATGCCGCAGACAGCGTTCGTGGGTCTGAGTACTAGGGTGAACGTGACGAGGTAACAAAGTAGTATTCCCACGAGAAGGACGTAAGATAGTTCGCGTCCGGATGCACGTACGACTGGCGTGTCGTTGTGTCTGAGGAAAACGCCGCAGACAAATAACGTCACCTGTGTTTACGCATTAAAAAAATATATCAACTATGTAAATTGCACAATATAAAATGTACATAGAAATGATTATGTCAGCTATAGACAAATACATTAGTCACTTGTAGGTAGACAGTAAATTAGCGTCAGATATAATCCGATACAAGCAGTTGTAGTCGATTACTGCCGCTCTCTGATAACATTTTTTATCGAGAGGAATTGCGAAATACAATGTTCGCAGTTATCATTTAAATCTCAGACTCATGCTTGAACGATTCAAACCACATTTTAACACGTTCACGTAGAGGTCCGCACTTCTGACCGCATATTTAGCATAAAATGTGGCCGCTTTATACCAAGCTCTACGCGTGTCTTACACATTCACGTGTCAGCCCGGGAATTAGAATTTAGCGCTAAATGTGCGGTCGGAATATGGACTGAGGTCTACGTCGTGGCTTTCACGATTCTCGATGCTCGCCGGGCGCATTTTACGAATCTCGTGATAGCTGCGGACAGAGACAGCGAGAAAGAGAGAGAGAGAGGGGGGGGAGAGAGAGAAGTCAGAATCCCCGGACGTCAAAGAAGCTCTCTCGCTTTCGTAAAGTCAGGCAGTGAAAAATGTAAGAGCCACCTACGAGAATTCCCACGGCTGAGAAGAACATCGCGCCTATCGCCCAACCGCTCTCCGGACGCAGGAATTCCTCCGGTATCTCGCGGCACGTCGAGTGGGTCTCGTCCGGCACCGTGCCTTGACGACACTGGCTGCATTGTGTCTCGTCTTTGGGATCCCGTATCTATTTGAGTATTAAAGAACGCGAAATTGTGAAATTCTCTCTCTTCCCCGAGGGATCTGTTTCGGCATGGTTCTGCACGTTAACTCTAGAATACGAACTTTTTACTCTAAGTCTACGTTCTTAACCCTGTGCCTTAAACGACGTGTAATGATTAACCCTGAGAATAATAACTATCGGGAATAAAACTCGGGCCTCGGACAACATTTTTCACAACTACGCGCGACGCCAAACGGATGGGAGCTGCCGAGCGTCGAGGCTTTTTCAAATCTCAAGAAGCGAAAACGACAGGGGGAATGACGAGAAGCTGGCTGAACAGCAATTGTTTAAGGTAACAGAAGATTTATTTGATATAAACAGTCAAAATCTATACTTAAACACGATTTAAACTTTATGTGGTTTTTCTGACAACCACATTTTTCACACTGATGGAAGTGACATCACAAATTAAGGCCATTAAAGGTATCGCTTTCCATGTTAACATGTTTATTCCAACTTGACATATTTATGAAAACATGTCTCTCCATAAAGTAAACTGCAATGAAAATGATGTCTACAATAGCTGTTATTCGTTACTGCAAAATAAATCGTTGCTTTAACCGAAAATTTGAATTTTATTGTTGAAAGATCGCCATTTGACCGATGTTTAGGTCGGACCATTGGTAGTAGCCCACTTTGTGGCTACATGCATATTGATTGAGAAAATTGTTTACTTGTTTCCGATCACGTAGTGGTCTTTAAACGACGTGAACTTTGCAGAAAGAAGTCGGCGCTTTCCCGTTCAGAGTTTTCAAGCATACATCATCTCCTTAATTCAGTTCTATTCAATTTTATTTCGCTAAAACTCGCGTTTAATTCACACGTGACACCGTTAGCTTCTCTTTTTCTCTCAGACGACGATAATTCGTCATACCACGTGATCACTTTTGTGTCCGCGCATTTGATTGCCACCGCGCGTCACGCGCGTCGCTCTCTTCATCGCTGCGCTTGCGACATCATTCATAAAATCGCGAGGAAGGTTCTCCTCCTCAATGCGGACGACGTGACAAAAGGACCGAGGAATATAACGCGCGGCTGAATTTCCCGAAACGCTGCAGGAGAGCAGCATCAACGGTACTCGGGTGGGCGCTTATTCATTTGGCGCACGTCCAACTGGCAGCCTCGTCTCTCCTCCAGGCGGAGCTATTTTTTTATCATCGCCCCTCGTTACCGCGATTGCGACGGTTAAGTGAATGTACCGCGCGGAGACAAATGTCGCCACGCCGGCGAGGCCCAACCGAGCCGCTGAGGAACAACAATAGGGCGCAATTGTTTCCGGCGTCCTTTTGATACGAAAGAGAGTTCGCGGCTCGGATATTACGCGGTCGGTCTGGCGGACAGTTAATTATTCCCGACGATACCGCTGCCAACTGACGTACCTGATATTGAGTGCAATTAAAGCAATGCCAGCAGCATCCCTCACCCTCGACATATTTCTTCGCCTGGCCGACCTCGCAGGGCAAAGAGCACACGCTCTCGGGTGGCTGCGGATGCCCGAGCTTAAATTGGATTTCTAAAACAAATACGAGCACGCACACACACGGCGACAATGTGGAATACTGTTGGGCACGCGGACCGCATTCGTAAGTAAGTAAGACCGAACCTCCCCCCCCGTTCCCGGCGATACGTGCGTGACGGGGGAGAGGAGTGAACGCGGACACGTCCCGAAATAGGAAAATAGAGGTGAGCTCACCGGACATGTTCAGCCGCAACTCGCCCTCCAGGTATTTGCCCACGCGAACCCATTTGTACTTGCCCCGCTCGGTTTGCTTGAAGTGTATGATGTTGTATCTTGCGGGACCGTCGCCGTCCTTATCGAATCTGAACTCGTCTCCGCTCAGACCTTAAATGCAGTCGTTCGATCGTTCATTGGTATCGCGAACAACACTTCGTCGAGGCAACGTGTGAGCAGCTAATTGCGATAACAGGTATTGTTCGGCTTATCGTGGTGCGACAGATAGAACAGTCAATATTATATAACGAATTAAAATGTTGTAAGTGACTGATGCACGCGGGAAAAACAATTCCGTTGGACGGTAATTCGATTATAGGATCCGGTGCTCCAAAATCGTGGGCAATTCGAGCCCCCCACCATTTGACAAGCGATAGTACTACCACCTGCATAACATATCGGTGTGTAGTTAAAACAAAGCTCTCCGAGATACACTTTCAAAAACCGCGTGAATCTCGGAGCTTCGTTTGGCCATACGGAAATGTTGCATGCATGTGGTAGTACCGACGCTTGTCAAGTGGTGAGGCTCGAATTACCAACGATTCCAGCAGCACTGCTAGGAAGAGAATAATTCCTGCTGGAGGTTTCTACTCAGTCAATTGTTCTTCAGTTGTACCAAACGAGTTTTAAATACAGCCGAATGTTCACATGAATGTTTTCAGTCGCGACAGCAGAGATATCACTTTTTCGTCGTCGGGCTTTCATTTCATGTCACTGAGTTCTCATCCGGTCTCTATTCTGTCGCAGGAACTGAGTTGGAACTTTTTTTTTCGGCACAAGGTGAGGCATTATTACTTTGAGTACCTTCGGAAAATAAGAGTTTTTAATTAACGACTGGATAAAAATGGTGAAAAATTTATACACATAGAAGGTATTCGAAGCGATGACCGCCCATTCTGCCTGAGATATCTTCGAAAAGTCAATGATACAAAGTAAATAATTTTCATTTATATTTAATCATTTTTATTTTTGTTTAAATGATACGAAATGAATAATTATGAAAAATAAAAACACTTCGAGAAAACTTATTAACGACGAGATGAAGGTAAAAAGAGTTTACATTCACGGATGTTCAAAGTTACGACCAATGGCATCAATGCAACTTCCATTAGATACATTTTTCCCTTCCACGCTCGTATGCTCGTATTTCAAGGATATTCGAGGCGGTGTAAGTAGTTATTGCCTCACCCTATACTTTTTTTATACGTTAAGTCTTGTTCGCATCAGGAACACGGAGAGTCTCAAACATGATTTATAATGCACTCTTCCAACGCTCTACGATCGATCCGCGGCGGGCCGATATATTCGCACCTCGTAGTTTTCCTCGCGAAATCGCTTTGTCAGCTTACCCTTGAAATCCACCTTGCGCAGATACTGCAAGAGCTTTGTTCCGTTCGTCGGTTTCATGGCGTCGCACAAGCCTGCCCTGCCCTGGCAAAGATCGTGATGCATGTCCCTGGAAGAATAACGCGTTTTCCTCTCACGATTCTCCGTCTCGGAGATAGACGGAAAAAGAGAGAGAGAAAGAGAGAGAGAGAGAGAGAGAGGTAAGATCTTCGGTGAGATCTGTCAGAGATTAAATTCCTATTTTACCGGAAAGCGTAAGCGAATGCCATTACTGCGTCGGAAACGAACTGTAGCTGGTCCTCGAATGCCGTGTCTTGTTTGGTGAGACGTTCCTTCGTCGTGCAAGTTTTCGTGTATTTTTTGTTGTACGGTGTCCGGGATGAGTTCGGGTATCGGCATTTAAAGTGGTCTTCCCAAAATTCTAAAATCAACGTGTGTGTGTGTAAGGTTGTTTGTTCTTTTGTGCATAGAACGAGTAGAACGGGATAACTTCCGATAACTCGCGATCGACGGTCCGAAACGACTTAATGAACGAGACGCATCGATTTTCTGTTAGTCTCGTTAAGTACAAAGTATACACACACACACATATACATTTCCCGTACGTTTCTCGATTAGCAAGTTCTTTAATTCAATCCCACCTCGAATTATTCGAACTACGTTAATTGTGAAATATGGTACATGGAAGCATGGTATATGGAAGCACGGTACAATACGAGACAACTGAATCTCATGCGAGAATATATCATGTCAAACTTATATTTACATTATTTTGCAAAACCGTTTCGCCGTTTTTACTCCTCGTATAATCCGTTTTTTCCCCATTTTTTGCCCGTTCTATCATTTTTATTCCCGTTTCTTACATTCTCAGGCACGCGTAGTCTATTAAGCGGAGGAATATGCACGCGAATATGCATGAATATTTTTAAGGAAATTGTCGGTCTTTAATACTCGTTTCTGGGTTAATAAATGAGAGAAAGTTAATACGTTCCTTTTTATTCAGTTGCGTCTCAATATGGAAAGGAGCACGTTAAAGAGTCGCGCATTTACTCGTGCTGTTTCGAAATGTGCTATATATCGTAACTGTATCCGCTATAATGGTTCAAACTAACGTTGTATTGATCTCACAAAACGATAAGTAAATTATTATTATTTGTATTTCACTGTTCTGAAAATATTTGTTCTTAAGTAAGGGAGGCATAAATTGAACAGAGTTTTTCTTTGTTATCCGAAAATTCTGTCTAAAATATGTTTTTGTCAGAACATAAGATAATTTCTCTAATTTGAAGGGACATTAACATCCAGTTGCGCGTATTAACGCGATCATGAGAAATTCGAATATTTACTCCAACATAATGTAATAAGCATCACGTATTTTTGATCACATGTCACACGAATACACATATATATTTTCTTTCATATTTATTCATGTTTCCCTAGTTAAATAAATATTAATATTTTCTCACGATATTTTCAAATTCCGATCGTTATTATTCCCGTTATTTTCGCCACAATAAAAACTCCGTCTGTCTCAATTAACGAATTATTATTTTTGAACTAAAGAAAGAATCACAAGTTTATAACTATAAGCTGCCGTGATAAGAAAGTAATAGGATTTTTTCCGAAAACATTTCGACACCACTGTGCGGCGCTTCGGGGGGATAGCGTTGAATATCGGCTGACTCGCCGATTGTGTTAGAAATTCACCGGAATATATACATGTATCGAAGACAAAGCTTGACTTCCCGCTTCTCTAACGTGCGCGTGTATACGCACGCAGACGCTCTCCGCGGGAGAGAGAAGTTGGCGCCGGCCGAAGTTCCCGTCGCGCCGCACACGCATCCATTCCCGAGTCATTCGCTTACCGACGAACCACGGGTTCCTCCGATTGTTCTCGACGGTCAAGTTGAGGAAGTACTCTTCGAAGCCCTTAACACGGTTCGCCTGAGGTTGGACCGATAGAGTGCCCTCAACTTCCGGCTCGTTACCGTTACTCACTAATCCTCTCGCGCTCCAGCCGTCGCTTCCGATCCAGGAAAAAGCACCGGTCGCGTTGCGCCGACTCACCGCTCTCATGACTCCGGCCACCTCTTGATCGGAGCCGAAGATGATGCAACCTGCGGGCGTGTAGGTGTTGTACAGTTGCAGGTGTTGCGTCAACAGGTCGGTACAACGGGTTGCCTATTTCCTTCGCTGGCAGGCGCGCGCTCGGAGACGGACTTGGCGGTAGGCACGCTTGCAAAACGCTTGCGACTTTTTGTCGGAAAAAATAAGCGCAAATCCCCCCAGCAAACGCAATATACGGTGCTGAGTGCGTGTCCGCAAGCGCGAGCACGCGTGTGCTTGCCGACGAAGCTAGTAGGTAACCCGTCGTACTACTCTGTACGTTGGTGCAATACTCTGTACAAAGGGAAAAGACGGAGAATGAGAGAGAGAGAGAGAGAGAGAGGGGGGGAATTGTCGCGCAGGAATGTCTCGCGGAAATTTCCTTCGTAAAATCGCGAGTTTGCCCTTTTATCGCCTTATCGCGCGCCGAGGAAAATGCCCGCCGCGCGTCTAGTTTTATTTTATCGCCCCCGACCCCGGCGGCTTTGCGAAAATTCGCTTTCCCCGAGGGGAAAGCTTTTATTGAAAAAGTGCCAATGAAACGTCTCGTTCCGGCCCGACGTCTCCTACGGGAATCGAGATTATACAGGATACGCGCCGGGAATCGGCGCGCACGCGAGCGTAAAAGGGAGCGTACGAAGCCGGGGGACGCTCGGCCACAAAGGGGTCTACGAGGAGGCTCTCGCATAAAATAGACGCTTATCGCGAGACACTTTCCTCGTGGTCGGGACGCAGCGCTCGTGGCCAAACAATCGGCTATACACACACATACACACACACGCATGCTTTTTCCTTTCCTCTCTCTCTTTCTCTCTCTCTCTCTCTCTTTATCCTGCGCAAAAGTCACGTCTACTTTCTGTTCGGATAAACGACGCTTTCGATTCAAGCTTTCAACGGAGCGAAGAGAGGCGAAATTATACTCGTTTAAGAATGGAATCTTGCGGATATACGTGTTCCGCCTTCTCGCGACAATCGCGCGTCCCAGCGATCGGCTGGATTATTCTGCGATATTCTTAATGAGTTTACCGTAAGATTATTGCTGTCTCGTGGCTCTCCGCGTTCCACTCGAGTGTCCCGTTCGTAGCGAACGCTACCAACGCCGACGCGGGAGATCACTTCACATTCTATATATCTCTTGACCCAGTGGCGCAGCTCGCGACGGGATTCTTGCGCGAATTCGTGCTCCAGGTATGTTAATGAAATAATTAATCTCGACGGGCTACTCGGATAAAAGTTGGCCCGAAGATATGAGTTATTTATCAAAACCCGCCTTCGTCGGGAATACGAGGAGGAAGGAGAAGAAATGTTAAAGTCGTCGCGCCGAGAGATCGTCTGGTCTGCGGCCGTGTCGAACGGATTAAACAGGTGAAATATTTATTCGCGCGAGTAGCGCCGGAGAAAAACCGCACGCGTTCTTCTTCTCGGACGGGGACGTTAGGTACTATTTTTCTTAAACAGGATCACGGTTTCACGATGTGCGCGGAGAGGAAAAGGGAAAGAGAGAAAGAGAGGGTGAGAAGGGCTGGTGCGAGTTACGCCATTAATTACGCCCTTTCTTTATGTACATGAAATGTATACGGAACGGGTTATCTGGCGACACCGTAATTTTTATTTGCGCACCTTACATCCTTTTTCACTTTATCCCATTTCTCATTTCGCCCACACCAACGGCTGGAAATAGGAGTGTACTCCTCGCTCGTTTCCTGCCGACTGGGGGTATCGTGCCGTATTTGAATTTCCGCGCGATGCGCTCAATCGGATCAGAGCATTCCGATGTTTTATCAACGATATATACGCGTAAGTTCCTCCGCTACCCCCCGCCCGCTCCTTCCCCCCGACGGTTTGCTTTTAATTATAAATAACCCGAGCGCATAAATCACAGCATCGTAAGACTGTCGGTGTTTGCTCACGCGCACGCACTCGGGCGAAAGTACGCGCCGTAGCGCGAACGCGAACAGCGGCTCGATTTAATTTACCTTGCTCGTATGACATAGCGTTATCCAAATGAGCTCATCACGGAATGATTACGTCCCGCCGTAATTCGGTCGCGCAATTTTATCTTTATGCGTTATTTTATCTGTTTGTAATAATCCACGAGAGCGTACCGATGTCGATCGTGAGCTGCCCGTCCGCTCATTACGCTCCTATCGATGCAAATGAGATGCAAATGCCGGTACGCTTACCTCAGTTTTCAAGAGGAGCCATGCAAACGATACAGATGCCAGGAGAGACCGTTTAATTTGCCGCATGCGTCCGCGCGCAAAGTGTTTCGTGGTTTCCTCGACAGGTAGGTGTGCGCGCGCGTGCGTGTGTGTAAAGGTGGGTATGCCACTGAGCGAACGAACGATGAGCTAACATGCGAACGCGAACGCTCGGATATTCGCATCCGCGCTCGTCGTTCATTCATTTCAGGTAGTGAATCGCCGAGGGGGAAATATACATCTAAAAAATAAACAATTTATTCCGTGGGTACTAACATATTGACTTATTTATTTACTTACTTGCGTTAATGCGCACACGTTCTTATACACGGGGAAAGATTTTTTTCAAGCGAGAAAATGAAATAAATTAAAAATAACCTCATCGTGAAAGTAAATTCATCATAACATCGTGAAAAAGACATTTTTAGGATAAATATGGGTCTATATTGTTTGATTGATTAAGAAGAACATTGGGATATCCTCCTTATATATTTTCTTCAGTCTGTAGTTTTTCAATTGTTTACTCTATTTAAGGGAGTGCCAAAGTCAATGATGAACTTGATAAACATCAATAACGTAGAGGCGACGTGCGTTACTCCAATTTACCATATCAAACGAAAAATCTAATCGTGATATATAAAAATTTTTCGGCAAACTTTTCGTATTTTTTAAACCTCTAAATTTAATTAAAATATTGTAAAAATGTTTTTCGAAACTTTCATTATTGGAATATTGATACATTCGATACGTACAAGCTGCAGGATTTATCTGACAAATATTCACGCTAACAACTAGAGATGTTACTTTGAAATTTTGAATAATTTTTACTACATATTGTGCAATATTTCAATTTATTTTTGCGAGTACTTTCATCGCGTAAAAGCATTTGTAAATCTGTGCAATAAATAAGACATAGATTTCGTAGAAAAAAATTCATATTATATCGGTAAAATTTTCCAAAAAGTATGGCATCCCTTTAATTATAAAAATTTTTCGGCAAACTTTTCGTATTTTTTAAACCTCTAAATTTAATTAAAATATTGTAAAAATGTTTTTCGAAACTTTCATTATTGGAATATTGATACATTCGATACGTACAAGCTGCAGGATTTATATCTGATAAATATTCACGCTAACAACTAGAGATGTCACTTTGAAATTTTGAATAATTTTTACTACATATTGTGCAATATTTCAATTTATTTTTGCGAGTACTTTCATCGCGTAAAAGCATTTATAAATCTGTGCAATAAATAAGACATAGATTTCGTAGAAAAAAATTCATATTATATCGGTAAAATTTTCCAAAAAGTATGGCATCCCTTTAATTATAAAAATTTTTCGGCAAACTTTTCGTATTTTTTAAACCTCTAAATTTAATTAAAATATTGTAAAAATGTTTTTCGAAACTTTCATTATTGGAATATTGATACATTCGATACGTACAAGCTGCAGGATTTATATCTGATAAATATTCACGCTAACAACTAGAGATGTCACTTTGAAATTTTGAATAATTTTTACTACATATTGTGCAATATTTCAATTTATTTTTGCGAGTACTTTCATCGCGTAAAAGCATTTATAAATCTGTGCAATAAATAAGACATAGATTTCGTAGAAAAAAATTCATATTATATCGGTAAAATTTTCCAAAAAGTATGGCATCCCTTTAATTATAAAAATTTTTCGGCAAACTTTTCGTATTTTTTAAACCTCTAAATTTAATTAAAATATTGTAAAAATGTTTTTCGAAACTTTCATTATTGGAATATTGATACATTCGATACGTACAAGCTGCAGGATTTATATCTGATAAATATTCACGCTAACAACTAGAGATGTCACTTTGAAATTTTGAATAATTTTTACTACATATTGTGCAATATTTCAATTTATTTTTGCGAGTACTTTCATCGCGTAAAAGCATTTATAAATCTGTGCAATAAATAAGACATAGACTTCGCAGAAAAAAATTCATATTATATCGGTAAAATTTTCCAAAAAGTATGGCATCCCTTTAAATAAAAGAATTTAGATTTAAATAAAGATGTTATTAATACCTACCAGAAATAAATGTTTGTCATTTTTCAAATATTCTTTCTATCAAGTGCGCAGTTTGAAACGCGGCTAATGCTCCAATACTTATCTTTCGAAAACCAGCTCTTTCACATTGGACCGTCGTTTGTGTCCCGAAGTGCATCGACAAAAAGTATCCGAAACATGTAGAAACCGAGTATACAAATTTCCCCAGTAACAGTAATAGGGAACGTTCGTATTCGTTCGCTCGTTCGGTGTATAGCCACCTTTAAGTGTGCGCGCACGAACGATTCGATTAAAGTTACAAGTCAAACCGCGCTCGATATTCGTTCGTCTTCACAATGAAAGCCGGGGGATTTGGCTTGGCCGCTTGCACGATTCTGGGAAGATATAAAGAAGCTGGGTGGTGAGTTTCTGGAGATTTTCAGCGGAGTTTCAGATCGCGTTCGACGAAGCACCGTCTGAAGAACGAGTGGCGTATCCATTTCGATAATGATTCCATTCCGTCGCTCTGGAACGAGCTCGAACGGAGCTGGATTCTTTGTCGCGTTCGCGTCAAGACGCAAATACTATTTATCGTGTTTCTACGTAATCGTGTTCCTCTCCCCGGCGTCGAAATTCGTCCGTATTTCGGGGACGATTTCTGCATCGAGCAGAAGGGCGAAATCGTGAGCGCGTACATACGGACGAACAGAAGGCCCGACAATAATTTGGAAGCAAATCCTTTTTAATGACATTCATCCCGCCGAAGAGCGGATTATCGGAGAAATGTCGATCCCGCCACGGTTTATTCACCGCTCACCCGGCTGCGGGGTTCGGTCGAGAAAAGCACGGAGAGAAGAAAGGGAGTATCTTCTCGCGCGGACGATCCTCGATATTCCGAACGGTATATTCGCATCGATTTCAGCTTTGAACGACGCCCGGGACGCACACCGGCCGATCGGTGTGGATTTTTGCGATGAAAATTTCATTCTCGAACGCAGACTCCCAACTAATTTGACAACTCACGGCTGTGCGATTCGTTTCATAGCCGTCGTTAATTCGTTTCGAACCGTCCCGATTCCGCTTACGTCCAACTTGTCGCGAGACAGGGCGCGGCGAATCCCACCTCTGTCTCGCGGATTCCATTTCACGGACTTTGGATTTTAAGCGGACTGAAATCCAAAGTTCTCGCCGAGACTTTTTCCTCTTCATTCGGCGAATCGTAAAATTATACTTTTACCGCGACTTGCCGCGAGATCGAGCGAGCGTTGCGCGCGCGCGCGCATCAAGAGAAACGCTGGAGTGGATCTTTTCCCGGGCGTGAAGGAAATTTTATACTTGCTCCTTCGACCGGCGATAGAAATCCGACAAAAGAAAGAAGAGAAAAAAAGGTGAAACTTTCCGCTCCGCGGAAGAGCCGGTGTTTAATGGACGACGCTCTGATTTCCGCCGGTGTTTTTCGCACGCGAATGCTTCTCGCTCGCTTCGCGGCAAGTTTTCATCTTACCTCGTGCTCGTGGCTTTGTCAGCAGTTTCAAGACTATATTATCGTAGGCTGTCTCCTCGGCGACCCCGGAATCCTTTACCAACTTTTCTTTGACGGCGATACATATGTTATTTTTGCCGAGAAGTTCCTCGAGTTCCTCGAAAGCCTGTAACATAGAAGGGATAGTGAAGGATGCATCTTCTCCTTCAGGACGTTTCCAACAAAGCGTCGCGCGTCTAATGCGCGTCCGCTCGCGGCATTCGTCGAACTCGCGGTGCTTTGAGGTCTTTTGGAAGAAAGACGACTGTAGCGAGGAACGGATGCAGGAGTAGAAGAAAGAAAGAGACGGAGATGGATAGATAGATAGATAGAGACAGAGAGAAAGAGAGAGGGAGAGAGAAACCTTAATGGGAAAAACTTCGATAGGATATTGAAGAATTCTGCGTCTTTTCATGTCAGTTGTGTAAAAAAGTCACGTTCAGGGTAACAGAGAATGCTGCATCGAAATCTGTGTCTTAAGATGGTTGTAGCGTAAAACGAATTTTTCAAGAATTCGTTGAAATTTACTTTATACCTGTGTATATATCGAAATATGATCGAATTTTTGGCGGAATTAGAAAACGATTGGCCATTAGGAAATTGACACTTTCGCAACCACACACGACACTTTTCACACGTATTCCTCGAAATCGATGTCCTATACTTAACATCTATTCTCAATTTCTTCTAAGCCACATTTAACATTTTAATGAACAACTGTGATATTAAGGACTAATGTGGAGATATCATAAAAAAATTTCAAAATTATTGAGAGATTGCCGCGCCATCCCCCTAGGCTCATTAAACGGCTCAAGTGTTTTAAACAGCCGGTCGATCATTCGGAACGATCACGAATTTGAACTTTAGCGAATCGGTGAGATCCGAAGCATGTAACGAGAATGACCTTTATGCGATATTTGAATTCACCTTCCGATAGCAACTGGAAAATCGTCCGATTATACCTGAGGAATGGTAATAGCTAGTCAAATCTGCATCGTCGAGAGATTCTCACGCGCCATTGATCACAAAATGAATCGCAAGATTGACCTCCGCGGGGCGGATTTGACGGTGAGATAGGAAAACTCCGTTACTTTGTCGAACAAATGGATATTCGTAATAAAAATCCCCGTTTGTTCTGTGCTTTTGGCTTTCGACCGCTAGTTGAAAAATGTTCCGTTCGTGCCATGAAAACATATATAGTCGCACGTATCGATCTGCTTCTCTCTCTCTCTCTCTCTCCCTGCGTGTATCTTTATCTATCCCCTTTTCTTTTTCCACGCGCATTTTTCGTATGCGATCCGTGTGTCGTGTCGAGATCGTCAATTTCCAATCTCACCACGAATAGTATGGCATTATCGATTGGATCGCGTCGTCGCATGGGAGAACGCAGTTACAGAAGAATATGAGTTCCTTTCTCGGAACGTTTTCGTCTGTTTCCGAGCTTTTGCCGCGATGCTGGGATTTTATGTGACAAGAAAACGCGGCGACTCTCATGCTTCATCTGTCTTTATCCGTTGCCGGGAAACTCTTTAATTTCGACACGGTGGAATTTACTCGACTGTCGCTTACGAACGTATATACATATATGTATGTGTGTTGTATATATATGTATGTGTTTGCATGCGCGTATGAGATCCCCGGCGTTTTGATCTCGATAACGCGAGGGTCCAGCGTGCATAAATCAATCCCCGGCCAATACGGGTATCATTCGCGTGTTCTCCATTATTGCACAAGTCTCGATAAATTAGCGGTTGAACCAGCCGGTTGGAGGAATGGCTCTCACGAGCTCCTTCCTACGTACATATTATATACATATTATATATTCACATAGCGGCGGTCCCTTCATTATTACAGGATGCGTTAGGACGTCGTAATGCCGGCCCTTATTCGGCTCGAAAATTGAATTTGGCAGCGCACGTAAACGCTAATCTCACGGGTATTGGAGATGTCCGGTTATTAGATGTTAGGTCAGGAGTGAAGGACTCTCGCGAATCGTCTGCATGTATTCTGCTAGAAATATATACATATATATATATAATATATATATATATATATACCGTCGCCGGTTGACGTTACGAGTTGGAGATAATGTTCCGTACAGTGAGTGAGTGAACTCGAATCCGTTGTTTGAGGAAGCTTCGGGTGGTTTTAGATAGTTTGACATTGACTCCGTTCCCGCTCGATCGATTTCCCCCAAGAATTCGAGATTTTTCAGTGTTTGAAATGGCGCGGAGGGCGCAAGGACGATAATATGATGAATCGAGCGATAAAATCGATCGCTTCGGAACGGCAACTTTAAGTATTCCGAGGAGTTTAAATATCTGACATTATTAAAGGTGTTCCGCGCAATCTGGACTCTTAAGGGAGGGATCGTGAAAAGGTAACTGCAACATCTCGAGGGGATAGGAAGCGAAAGTTTAGGGAACGACTGACTATGGCGAAAGTCTTTCGAAACTTTTAAATATTCAACGGACTGGACGATTTTCCTCGATCTTTCTTCCACGAGATTTTTGGCTTTTCGTATTCCGCTGAACTCCAGTACTTGCGGTCTCGCTTCACGTGCTCCACGTGTCTTATATACCTCGTCATCTTTTATAAAACGTGCTGAAAGATTGCGACTTTAGCAGTACTGGGATATTGGACGGAATCTCTCGGGGATAAGTGTTCATCTTCCTATCTCTCCTTAATAATAATAATAATAGTTTATTGAACTCTGGGAAATATAAAATATAAAATAAAATATGCGAGTTTTGTACATAGTAAAAAGTTTTGTGTAAATAACGATCCACTGAAACTTTTGTCTTACTTTAACAAGGTGAGTATGTTAATTTAATATACACTTGTATGCTTTTTAACATATCTCCATGTTAAAGTAACGCAAAAAATTTCAGTGGACCGTTATTTACATAAAATTGTTTAATGTTCAATAATATATCATATATTTTTCCTTAAAAATAATAATTTTTTACCGTTATACAGAATCAGATTAAGCACTTTTCTTTCTCGAATTCCACATATGAGTTCGATTACAAGCGAGTGTTTCGCAAAAGACACATTTTTCCACGTTCCCTTGGCAATTAAGCAATAATACCGAAATACTATCTTTATTTCGATCCGTGCGGGGTTCCGGATGTTACGCCCGTTTCGGACAGCTCGCGTGCGAGCGCACCTGATTGCCTCGGAATAATTTACAGCTACTTCAATGCGTAGAAAACCAGCGCGAAGCTACTCTCACGGCTTTTTCGAGCATCTCACGTGCAAACTAAACCGCATCCGGCACTCAGCCGAGCCATCTGTTAGTCTCCCAATGTGTCGATAACGGCTGTGGTATCGCGCAATAGCGCCAGTTACGATCATGTGACGTATCGGTCGTCGTATTGTATTTGTGTATTTCGAGAAACACCTAATTAGGTTCCACAGAAACAGAGAGAGAGAGAGAGAGAGATGACACGACGGTCTATTCGTTTCTTTCTCTCTCGCTTATTCATTCGTACGGTGTGCATTGTTGGTGCACGGAGAGAAAAAAATATTTAATGAATAAAAAATATTTATTCGATATGTACTAACAACATATTTACGTAAATCTAAGTATTCTGTTTAAACGGAATAAACAATAGTTCTTTCTCATAAAAGGCTTGTGACGAAATGTAGATTTTCTTTCCCGTCTGAAGAGAATTTTACCTTGATGTGAAAATATGTATATCAGTGTAAATAAATATATCAGCAGTCTGCTAAATTAACTAAGAGCCGCGCTCGACTTATTCGCTGTTCCCACATATAGGACCGAAACCTAATAGATCCTTCATGGTAACTTCTGCTTGTTAGTGGAATAATTCCCTTCCTGCCTTGCACAGTCTTGACTGCCTCGGTAGATTCAGAGTTAAGCTTTATGGCCATCTTTTTGCTTCGACTCAATTCTAATTCCTACCCGGGTAGAAATTAATCGGAGCGCGTCCCATTTCTGTCGTGGCCTTAGGCGTGCCTCAAAATAAGCCCTGCCTTCGTTGGGCCTGTGCTTGGATAAAAATTCGGGCTTGGATAAAAGTGGAGAATAATCCGTGTAGAGCTTTTCTAGCGCCCGTTTGAAATTTCTACCCGGCTACTGTTACTTTTCTCTTTCTTATGTTATTACGTTATGTTTATTTTATATACAAATTTTTTTTCTATTTCTCTCCATTCATCGATTCTGTATTTCTATCTATTTTTTGCACCTCCACCTCCTTCGCTTAACGCCTTTTCGGTATTATTTTATTGCGCTTGAGGGAAAGTCTCCCCAGGGCGCGCAACAAATAAATATTTATCTATCAGTACCTTCGCAGAATAAATATTTTACATTCTACATGTTTTTCCTTTCAGCGGAACGGTCGTGAATTCCGTGGAAGGCGCGCGGGCGGGAGCGACGATCGGCGATAATGAAATTCTGATCGGCCGCGTTATAACAGGACGTTATAATAGGATTCTTCTTTCGATTGTGTCGCCAGCCGTCGCGGCTTTACGAGAGGCACACAGCAATGGTCCGAAATGGCATTTCGACTCTCCTCCTCCTCCACCTCCGGCCACTCCAAATGCGACCGCGTGTAACTGCCGTCGCTCGGTACGTGTCGGCCGTATTCCCGCGTGCGCGCTGCCGGGATATTAATTTAACACGGGCATCGATCATCGCGTTTTCCTCGCAAATGCGACAATCGTATGACGAATTCCGCGATCGCGTAAATTTCGCACTTGGCGACCACCGCTGTGCGGATTCGCGCGAGGAGCTGACACCTGACTTTTAGCGACCGCGAGTGCCATTTGACCGCGTTAATTTGATCGCAATGTTAATTACAACGGGCGAGCTGATGCGCTAATGAATGAAAATTAGTTGGAAGTTAGATAAGCGCGCCGTGGCAACGCGGAAGATAATTTATCGTTCGAAATCGCGCGTCAAGCTTTCTTGCCCGCTTCCGCCCGTGTCGACGAGGTTCATTCTCTCGCTCTCTTGCTCTTGCCGGAAGAATCGATCCCCTTCTCCGAAGTATCGATGTTTTGCGCCGAACTATCAGACAGCCCCGTTGTTGCCCTCTTACGTGACGCTTAACTCCACCGCGATCACGTGCGGCTAATGAGCTTCGTGACGCAACGTGCGGCCGCGCGCTCGCGCTATCGGCGAACTATTATTAAACGACACGGCGTAATGAGCAGCATTACTTGTCACTGATTCGCTACTTAACACCTTTATTTCCTCGCCGTCGGCCGCTCCTCGTTCTTTCATCTCTGCAATCAGAAGTAATGATTTTTAATAATGCTCTAATATAATTCTTGCTTACCTCTCTCTCTCTCTTTCTTTCTTTCTCTTTCCCTCTCCCTCTTCCTTTCTTCCTCGTACCTTTCACCGCGCGACCTATTGTAGCGATAGAGAGAGCTCAAATGAATCCTCATTCCCCGTCACGTCGTAAAAATATACACCTGCAGGATACCTCGGGGATAGTTTTACCCAGGAACCAGCTGCCTGGATGTTAATACCTTCTCATGATGCGAGTTTCGAGTCTCCGACTTTCGCGATGATGAAGAGCGGAAAAGCTTCTGGAGATACGGATATACACACGCACTTCGAATGTGTTCGGATGCGCTCCGTCCTTGCATTTTCCCGCCGATGTAACAGTCTCTCGCGCACCTTCCGCACGGACGTTTATCTCAGGAGTACTCAGGAGTGGCCCCGACGTCCCTTTCAGGCCGGTCTTCGACGTTTGCGCCGCGGCTCCTTCGATCGCGCGACAAATGCCGGGATAGAATCCATTACGGCAAATAATAAGGGACAGCAGGCGTGTGTGTCTCTTATGTATTATGTATACGATATATACGTCGGGGGATATTTCGCGGCAAGATGTCGCGGGAGAGACGACCGTCTATGCATTTTTCATGACGGCGAGCGCAACTCGCCGATCGCGAGAACTCGCGCTCGTTTCGCCGACAAAATCGCCGAGAGGTGTTGCACCGCCGCTCTGCTTTCCCGCCCGGCAAGATAGAGTCCCAGTGATATATTTCGCGATTATATGCTCATCAGTCGCGTTATACTTTCCAAGTCGGCCGCGGATGCGGCTGGCGCGCAGCCGACGGTATCCCGCTAAGTAGCGTTCTTTTATATTAACCCGACATTTATCGTTATCATGTAGCTAAGCCGCTACCTCACCGGGGAAAATATCCTTTTCCCCTTGCTATAACTCCTCGCGCCGCGATTGCACCTAAGCTCGTTGCTAGAACTTTGCCCCTTTTTCTTTCCCTCCCCCCCCCCCCC